GAGAGAGAGCAGCAGACAGGAGAGAAGATACTGGAGCTGTTATCATCAGTGTGCACATATCAAACATTCCCTGTTCATGAGATATACATGGGAGATTATTATAGGAAATATCAGTGACTTCCTGCTGGATCTGTACTCTGATGTGAAGGACTGTGAAACTAAAACAGGCTTGAGTGTCCTTCCATCATTACAGTCAGTTTTACAGTCAGTTCCTGCAGTCTGGTTCATAAACCTCTCAGAGAGAAAGACCTCCATCCTCCTGGAAGTGCTGAAACTCCAACCAGAGAAGAAACAAGTGGAGCTGAAACTTGGCATGATACATGGAAGAAAAAGTTTTTTATGCTTCTTATTAAAACCTGGCTTGATTACACAGACTTGATCACGTCTGAACCTTTCCCCTTAACCAGCAGCAGCAGTGCTGTGATTTCTGAGAAATATAAAAACTGTTGCAATTGTAAAACTTTGCTACTTAACAACTTTGTGACTTGTAAATGTTTAGGTTTAATAAATAATTGTGCATCTCCTCCTGTATTACTGATCGCTATATACATATACAGTATACATATATACTGCTCGCCTCCTCCCAGACTGAGACGTGGCTTCCTGGAAAAAATTGCTGAACTTTTCTCCAAAATGACAGCATTTGACTGCATTTAGGTGATTTTAACGTTCACACTGACAGCAGCAGCAGCTCTGACAGTGGACAGTTCACCACTTTATTAAAATGTTTTAATTTTAAGCAGCATGTGACAGAATCCAGCCAAACAACAGGTCACACCCTCCATCTGATTGTTTCCAGAGGCCTCAGTGTCCCACTTACAAATGTTTTACATGTCTCGAATCATTATTTCATATTTTCAGAAATGTTTTCTGCTTCTCTCAAAACAAATACAAACAGATTTATCAGTAAGAGTCATGTCAGTGCCAGCACAGCTGACACATTCACCTCTGAGTGTTCAGTGTTCATTAGCATTATTGTCTTTATATGATGAAATGATGGGCAACCGCTCCAATACAAGTTCTCTAATTATATTGTATATATTGTATATTATTTCCTATTTATTGTTGATATGTTGACATATTAATGTATGTAGAACACCAAAA